ATTAGTTTCAGAAAGACAAATACTATGTTTTCCTATATTTGTGGATCTTAGATCTTAGATTATTTATCTAACATATATAGGCAAATGAAGGAGTCTAAAGGGGGAAGGAGAAGTTGGGGGGAGTTGGGAGGAAGTGTACCTATATGAAAATGTCATTATGAAAATCAGCAGCATGCCCAGTGAATATGCACTAATAAAGAAAATGTTACCCAAGGGGGAAAAAACATAGGAAACATTTGATGGGAGGTACTAAGCACTATGACATAGATCCTTGGAGTCTCTTAATTTATTTGTTCTACAGAAGGAATTTTAATCTGACCATCTTGAACTGAGCTTCAGAAAGTAATGATTGACAGTCATATAACTGGACATGCTGGCAGCTCTATTAGCTTCTCCAGAGAAATGGAACCAATAGTGCATGAACACACATAAGCACTCATATGAGCAACTGTGCACATGTGCACACACACACACACACACACACACACACCATACACACATATACTACACAACACACACACACACACACACACACACACACACACACACACCCCTTGTGAATATGATGCACATTAATTCAGCATCTTATTGGTATTGTTCTTTGAAAGGTTTTGGAGGACACTCAGTGATATTCAAACAGAATTTAGTTTTTCAAGGGAAATTTGACTGAAATATATTTACCTTCATCAAGATTTAGAATGCTTGCTAAAAATGTTAAAATTCCTCCCTATAATTTCTTCTTGTAGAAGAAAGATTATTTGTTTAAAACCTTGTTGCTTTAGGGAAGTATATTTCCAAAATATGTGATCTGTGGATGGTAGTACTTTGATCTGACTGCACGTGCATTTTCTTTTATTGAGGAAGGTTGACGAGGAATATTTGTGTGTATATTAGTTAGTATAGAAGTTTCATGTATTTAGAGAAATCCATGCCAAAAAGCTCTATATCATTAATATGTAGTGTTTAAAAAATGTCACCAGGGAATCAAATACCTTTCTGTGGATCTCTTTATGTTTTATTCAGCCTATAAAAATATGAAATGAAAAATATTACTAGCATTTCTTTTTATAAATCTCTTCTAAAACATAAAATGTACAAGAAGTCAGTTATTGGAACTCCCCAAGTCAGAATCCAGGAACTCTCGCCCACTCTCAGGCTGGTTGTTCATCTCTAGATTCATGAAAGTCCAGAGTCTAAGGTCCACACAGTGTTCTAATGACTAGTTGTGTATGAATAGAAACCATTTGGATTAAGAGCAGGAATAAAGATGGCCTCAATAAAAGGGAGAGCGTGGAATCCATGGCCCCTTTGAGAAAATGGAATAAAACAACCCTTGATATCAACAAATGATCATCCCTAAATCAACCGCTGGCATCCTGGCTTCCTGCAGCTGGCCTGTTTTCTTTTGTGGGCCTTCCTCTCAGGTCTTTTTTGCCAGACAGGCTGACACTTTGGTCTCCCCAGAGGAGCAATTCCATTTACCTCAGGCAGCAGGAGGCTGCATTTCTTCTCTTTTCCTCTAGTGATCCTTGAAGGGTTTTGCAAACAGCCAAGGGATCCTAGCAGATCACAGAAAGAATGCCATCCCACTCTGCAGATAGGAAAGCTGAGCCAGAGCTACTTACAGTCCATTTCCTTAGTGTAACAGGTGATATTTCTGTGTAGACAGAACTCCCGGCTGCAGTTCTGATGGAGCGATCTGTAATAATTCACAGGCACTTTTTTTGGCATCTTCAAAATTAGTCCCGCAATTAAAACATAATTATGCTTTCCTCTTTAGTGGTACCTTTCACCCAGGGAATGGAAAGTATCTTACAAACATTAATTAAGCAGCACAACACCCTGGGAGGAATGTAGGAGTTATCCTTCTCTTCCACGTGGTGGCACAGAACTGAGGAATTTATTAATTTATCCGTGATCACAGTGGGAATTGTCATTTAAGCTTCTGTAGCTGAAGTCTCTCTGAGGTCTTATTCTTCATTTGGAGAGTCTTTTAAATGTATTAATAACCTTTGTGAAAAATATTTTCAATAACTTGGTATCTGCATTTCATGTTATGTTTAAGGTTATTTTTAATCTGTGCCTGTGTGTTCTTTGATTGTCTACTATGAATGTTATGTTAGAACTTAAAAATGGAAGAGAATTTTTTAAATGTTTTCATTTAAGTATTTTAAATATCCAAAGTTCATATTTTTTCTTTTTCCTCCCCTCCCCTCCCCTCCTCTCCTCTTCTCTTACTTTCTCTTCTCACTTACTTATTTTTTTCTTTTTAGGAAGGGTTCTGTGTAGCCTTGGCTGGCCTCAAACTAGCTGTGTAATAAGGGTGATCTTAAACTCCTGATCCTCCTGCTTCTGCCTCCCAAGTGCTGAGATTATAGGCCTGTACCACCATGCCTGGCTTAAGGCTTCATGTCTTCTGGTAAACTTGCAATTGAACTACATTAAACTAATATACAGTATTACAAATGCGTAGAAATTACATACATACAGAACAGTATGCCAATTATGAATATGAAGTTTGTTGGGCATTTGAAAGTGAAATCTGTGCATCCAGAGCCCCTTGACTCTGTTTGATTCTAGTTATAGCCCTCCCAAAGGAACCAATAGCCTAAATCCTAATAGCATGGTATTGGTGAAATTATTAAGGCCACTCCACATAGTTAAAAGGGAGGTATATTTGGGGGTATAACTTACAAATGAAGGGGTAGGTAGGTCGCAGGGTCTGGGGAAGACGCAGTGCAGTCTGGCGGTGTTCTCTGGAGAACTCTCCTTGGTCTACCTTCAGGGTCCAGGGTCCAGGAACCAAGAGAGAGCAGCCCCTCTGCATCTTGGGTCTTCAGGGTCCTCTCTCGGCCCCGCCTTGTAGGCGGGACAGTTACCAAAGCCTTAATGGGGGTTGGAACTTCCAGATCAAAGATGGAATGGCTACCCACTACAGCATGGGATTTTCCCCAGATTTTGAATTCTAAACTTTTCTGTACCAAATCACACTCCAGGTGTTTACTTGCATCTGTCTGCTTTCATTGAGCATAATGCTTGTGAAACTCAGCCCTCAGCCAGGTTGTCTGTCACAGAGTCAATTCATACTCATTGTTGAAGTGTATTCAATTGTTTGACTATGCCATAATTTTATTCCCCTGTTCATGAATAATTGGGTTGTTTCCAGTTTGCAGTGATCTAAGTATTATTTTAATGCTATGTTGCTGCACACAGTGTTCTTCAGTTTTCTTGAAATATATCAAAGGCATTCTTTTCACATACATTACCATGAAGACATCAAGACAATGGGTGGTGGATACCATGGAGTTGCAAGGTGTTATTCATGCTTCTTATAAAGAGAAGGAAAATGGTTTCCCAGTCAGAGGAGACAGGAGTACTCTCTCTCTCTCTCTCTCTCTCTCTCTCTCTCTCTCTCTCTCACACACACACACACACACACACACACACACACACATTCACCCTGTAAGCCCTTCAATATCTTTTGGCTGGATTGGTTGTTGTGTTTAAAAGAGGCAGCTTGGAGAAGGGGAAATGGTGGGGGCACCAGGAGGGCCTGGGTACCATTCTCTGCTCTAGGAGTTACTGACTCTCTGACTGCCCAGCCCCAGTGCCACCCGCTCAACTCCACTTCACGCTGCCAAAGCGGAGTCCGGCTCTCCTGGAATTACAGTTCTGGATGTTAAGAATATGTGCTTAAAAGTTAAGCAGATAATAAAATGTATGGGCACATTTATAGAGAAAGAAACCTCTAACACTACTAGGACATTGAGTATGAAGGATTTAAACAGTCTCATTCAAGGGTTTTATGGAAACTTGTTGGCTTTAAGTTCAGACTTCCACCAAAGGAGAAACTTGGGCAGATTTGCCTTGGAATTTCATACATCTTGGATCCTAGATCAAGAAACCTGGTGCGAACTGATACTTTGCAGGTGATGGGGGTTGGGGTGAACTAGATGAGGGATGTCGGTTTCTCTTGGTTCTCATTGGGATCCTCAGCAGTATGTGCCTTGCACATGCCCTTGGATTGCCATAAGCTGCTGCTTCTGTTGAAATCTGTGACACCCCCCCGCCCCCTGTCCTCGCTTGGTTCTTTCCCGCCTTCCCCGTCTCGGGGCTGGCTCACAGTTGCTCTTTAGAATGCTCTGCACCACGTGTTCTCCCCAGGCTCCATCAACCCAAAAAGTCCCGTCAGCTCCGCTTCCAAGCATCACACCATTTCAGCCATTTCACTCCATCACATCCATGCCACTGTCGCAGGGCATCCCGCTGCTCTCATCTACCTGCACAACCTCAGAAGCCTGCAGACTCATCTCCTGCTGCCCATGTTCAAACCTTAGCAGTCCCATTGCCATGTTGCAGTTAAATGCGTTCCTCTAAAATAGCAAATCCGATTACCCCTGTTTCTACTTTGATCCCTTTTATTGATTCACATTAAATTTAGGGTGAAGTCTATAGTCCTGACCCTAAAAAGTAGCCCTTCTTTCCTGCTTCAATCACAAAGGCCATTTTGGTCCTTGAATGGATGCGCCCTTTCTCTTCTCTCTACCCCTCCTTCCCCAGCAAACACTTACTAGTTGCCCAGGCCTTCCATGTAATGTATCTGCTGAGGAAAAAGCACAATCCTGTGATTCCATGCATCAAATGGCGTGTTCCTCAACTGGCAGCTCTCACTGCACCTTTTGCTTGCACTTAAGACACTGCTCACACTTAGACGTTACACTAAATGTCCTTTTCTCTCCTAGTCTATACACTTCATGAGAGCCTGGTGCTTGCCTAGCCTACTTCGTTTCCTCGTGTATCTATTGCTGAGTGCTCCATAAACCTTACTCACTCACCGAGTCACATATTCCTATAGGAGACACATAGGCCGTTTGTATCTCCGTAGGAAACAGGGGACAAATTTGATCTTTTCAGGGATGCTGAAATGATATTTTAAAACAGTGAAGTCAGCAAAGGAAATTGCCAATGTTTGTAAAACAAGCCCTTCAAAAGAGATTACAAAGGTTTTATGATGGTGTTTATTTTACCAATTTCCCTGGATTTATTCTGATATCAATAAATAGGGCTTAACTTCGAAGTATAATTTCAGTAACAGTGACAACAGAATACAATGTGTACAGGCTTTGATAGCATCAGTAATTACATGCAGGAGAAAAATACACCCCAAAGGAAATGCCTCTCCCAGTCTGCCTATTCTAACCTCTTAGCCATTTTTCTTCTGCTCCATAATTGAACATCTGCAAGGCCATTTGCAAGCTAAGAGATGAAACCCCTTTCCCCACCTCTGCCACATCAGCCAGGTGTGGTGTTTGTTTCTCAAAGGGAGCCTAGGAACCCCTCCATTTAGAACCAACTGGGGGTTTTAGAACAAGTCCAGAATGCTGCTGCTATCAGAAACCCAGTGAATTAAAAACTCTGTTAAGATGAAGCTTGGCGAGCCATGTTTTTAACAAGGAACAATGTATGAAAATTATCATCCTAGGTCTATTCACTACAGATTCGGGAACAGAGAACAGGTGTGTGTGTGTGACGTCATCTTGTGAGTGCAGAATTACAGTTTCCATGCATTTGGGGGAGTCTCTTGTTTACTGTTACCTTGTAATGATCCTGAATCTGCTGTATGGCATGATCCCTAGAACCACAATGCTAAAGGCTAAACTCTGCATTTACAGCATTTTATATCCAAACCACATATTCCTGCTAATGGTCTCTTCCCTCTGGACATGTCTAAAGACAGAACCCATTAAAAAGTCTGGGCTATATATGAGGCAGTTGGATAAGCTCCAACTCAGCTAAAAGCTTCTGTCTCTACCTAGAATCTATGTCTTTATCTGATACCTGCAAATATGAAGGAGGAACATACTTCCATCCCAAACTGCTCATATGCAGACATCCCAGCATCCCTCGGGGACCAATGCCAGAGAGTACAGAAACCTGAGATGCTGCCTGAATTGTGGTAGTCTCATTTTATAGGCAAGCAAGCAAATGTGGGGATCATGTATTCAATCCCTTCTAAATCTAGCAGATTTGTGGGTAATTTTAATGGCCCTAGTTAATTTTAATTTTGAAGGCATTGGAAAGTATGTGGTCTATTTTGACTCAGATCTGAATCAAATCTTCCTCTGCCACCTTTTTCTTGTGGGACTTCTGCACATAACTTTATTTATCTGTACCTCATTTTCATCATATGATATAATGAAGATAAAATCCATTTAAAAAATCACACTAAGATTTAAATGATATACAGTATAATGCCTGCCACATGGTATGTGTTCAATTGAAAAATCTCTGTTAGTTGTCACGTGGATTTTTGGGAGAGTAGTTTGGTGACATGTATTAAAATACAAGTTTCATGCACCTTCCGATTTAGCATTTCTACTCACAGTAGGAAACCAGGCCCTGCAAGTGAAGTGCAGAGACCTCAGGCAGGCAGCTCACCATTGGTCATGTGGCCTTCAAACATGGGTTCAGTGGAGCAAGCAAATGGACTAGGGCAGTGGTGCTAGCCTATGGTAACCTTCTAGAAGTATTTAACTATACCTGCTTTAGTCATAACAAGAAAACTAACAATATGGGGTAGACTTAAACTCAGCAGTTAGGAATACTTGCTGATCTTCCAGAGGACCCAAGTGCCATCCCAGAGCCCAGTAAGGTCGCTCACAACTGTCCGTAACTCTGACTTCAGAGGATCAACACTTCTGGCTTCCATGGGCACTGCATTCCTGTGCCGATATCCACATGTAGGCACGCATACCTATACACAATTAAAAATAATACAATTAAATCTTAAAAAGAGAAATCAGCAATGATGAAAATGAGACTCAATGGTTTGTTTAATGCATATTATGTGTTAGTCCCAGACTTAACCACCTAGTCTCTGTGATATGCTGTGGTAACAGATACATTCTGGTCCCTCTTTAGAGAGATCCAGTAACACACATCCCACAAGGAACAGCAGTGTGACAAAGATGGTCACATAATTAGTGACTGAATCCAGATTTGAACAGACGCTGCCTCGATTTTGCTGCCAACTAGTCAAATCTGTGACTCGTGTCTGTGGGGATTTAAAATCAGCCCTAAAACAAAGCAAAGCAAAACAAAGAACTAATGCTGCGGCTCACTGTCAGGCCTTCTCTGACCACGAAGATGGCAGAGGGTGAGGCTGAGAGCAAGGACTGACCATTGGGGTTCCCAGTGCCTCATGTGCCTCGCGTGGGGTCAGCTTACTAGAAACAAACTTCTCTCTTGCACAAAGACGCCTGAACAACGGCTGGCGCCCGTTTTCACTCGACCAACTCTTCCTGGACATCTGTGGATTTTGTAAGGTCCCCTCTGGAAGACGGTTGTGAGGAAACTTGATTGGATGGCGTGGGGAGGTCAGTGGGAGAGGTGACAAATGAGGACAGAGTATCAGGACACAACGTGTGTGAGGGTGGTGTGAGGAAATACGTGACTCTGTCTGCTAACTTAAAATTTCATTTTAAGGCTGGATATGGTGGTGCAGGCCTTTAATCTCAGCACTTAGAAGCCAGAGGCAGAGGCAGAGGCTCTCTGTGAGTTCAAGGCAAGCCTGGTCTACACGGTGAAGGTCATTCAGGGCTACCTAATGAAACTGTCTGAAATAAATAAAAAATAATAATAAAATAATAACAATAATAAACAACTACATTTTCTTACCTTTAATGGCTAGGTATAGGTTTCTTCTGCCCTCTCTTGACGGAAGTTGAACTTCTGAGGTGGCCACAGACTATGATATAAGTACAGGAGGGAGAGAGAGAGAGAGAGAGACGGAAAAGCATGGCTTTTGTTTTGATATTTCCAATACATTCTCTCACTTGTTTTTGATCTTGCTCCAAAGTGACTGTTCCTATCATAGCACATGTGTAGGGTAATGCAAACCACATCAACCCTTAGGCAGGTTTTCCTTCTACCCAAGGACTGACTTCATCCCTTCTGACTTTCTGCCTTCTGCATTGGGGACACCTAGTCTTTGGGCCATCAGAGTCTTGGGCTGCTTCTCTCTCCACCAGCACCAACAGATTGGGTGGGAACCTGTTGGTGGCCCAGGCTGGATGTGTCCTTTACAAATGTTCATTGGTTACTTCCTCCTGCTTCTAATCAGCTCTGCCTGCTAAGGAATCAAGCAGCTAAAACTGTTTCTCCTTCAATTGGATGACTGAAAAGATTGAGAAAGATCTGGAAAGTAAAAGAATCTGCCCAAAGCACCATGGGAACATAGCAGAGAGCCAGACCAATCATCCCAGCAAGTCCAGGCTGTCTGGCGGGATTACCCCTCAGTTTGTGTGTGGCCCTCAGGCTACTTTGGTGTCTTCTGACCTCAGTTTCCCTTCTGAGACAACTACAAGCTGGAGGATGGGTTAGCCGTCTGGGTGAGAGGGAGATGGCTTCCATGAGGACCCTGGCTTTCTCTGTAACGATGAAATTCAATCTCACAGTTTAAATGCTTGTCCCAAAATATTTCAAAATGTGAACCACATATGAGCCAAATGACAAAAATGTTTTTTAAAAAAAACAAAAACACGGGCTTCTTGTCATCTACCACACTGGCTGTTTCCCTGTCTGTTCAGTCAGTAAATTATTCCTTCTGATCTTCATTTCTGATGACATCCAGATGGCCTGAAAGTCAGTCTTGCCAGTGTGAGAAATTCTCTGGGAAGTTCAAAGTGAGTAGCTGAGGTGTTTGGAGGGTGTGGGCAGGAAAAGGTCGTTGTACCCAACACTAATAACTAATGTCTAAATAGTCACAGTGTGTGCTCCACTGGGCTTGAGCTGCATTATTAATGTTCTTATTTCTTAAGTGGAGATGTGTATTTCCCCCTTAATTGTAGGCTACTTGTAAGAGCCAAAATACCTAATGTTCACTTTTCTTTCTTTTCCTCCTAAATCCTCTGGAACTAAAAAGCATGGCAATGATGTCCTTAAAACCATGCTATCACCTATTAGAACTGAATATTATTGTAAAATAAAAACAAAACAAAACAAAACAAAAAAAAACATGCTATCATCTGCTCATAGTAGGTAGGTCCTGGGAACTGCAAGACGATCATGTTGTGAATTATGGAATTTAAGCCGTCAGTGAAATATAATGAAAAATTAATAATATTAATGACTCAGAATATTAGCATAATTTTTATTTTTCACTGTCACTTACCAGACTTTTGGAAAACAATAACTCTTCTTTTTCACCACGAAAGCAGCAACATTAGCCTCTGGTGCTGTCTGTTTTATGGTAAGCAGGATCATGGTTTCTTCACATAGTAGAACAGGACAGTATTGTAGTCTGGTAACTGTTTCACTACCATCACTGATGAGATTTCCATGAAGCCATCTTTTTAGGACTGAGTTCTTATGATAGCCACATCATTAATTCTCCAACAGATACACATAGATGTACACATGCACAGTACCACCCACATCGACAACAGCTATGTCTACACCCCCCGGGAGAGGGAAGAGACAAACACCAATCTGTTGTGTGTTCACTGTGTGCCAGGTAATTCAGTACCTGCCTTTACCTATAGACCAGACAGAACACAGAAGATAATTAGGTTATTGTCAGCATGCATTCAATTGCTAGCCAAACTTCATTAACTAGGACCTCTGTGTGTTTAATGGATCTATAACTGATGTTTTTAATGATGACTTCATTAAAGTGATTAGATTAAATGATGAGCTCCTAAAACTTTAAGTCATAAAAGATTAATTAAGTTATGCCAATTAGCATTTTCATGTGTATAATATCATCTTAAAAGTCAATTTCCAAGTAACCTCAAATGCTCAAGAAGCCCTGTAGCCTAACTATTGGGTGCATCTTATCCTAATGTTAGTTACTTGAAGGGGACCCATTTTCCCAAGGGTGGTTTCCTGGAGTTGGAGACTACGGTGCAAATAGTGTGATTTTAACAGTTTTCCCTTCACCAGTCACTGGGAATCCCGTCTTTCACAATATTCCTTTCTTTTATCATAAATAAAAGTTTCCCAGATCTGGCCTTCTGTAAGAACCCTGCTTCCTCAGCCTGTCTTTGAGCTCTAATCCTGTTGCTGTGGTGACTAGTTGGACGTTGACTAAGGTTTCTACCAAGATCTCTAGCATCTCAGCTTTGCCTCCATGGCATGCCAGAGCACTGAGCTTGACGAGGCTCTCTGTTCTGCCTCGCACACTATCCTAGAGTCTCTGAGAGAATGGTTCCCAAAAGAAGGCCAGACTAGGCTCCAGATACCTTATTGAGTCTCACCCACGCTTGCTTTCAGCACAGTCGAGTATTCAGTGTCTACATTTCCGGTGTCACCTCTCCTGCGGGAGGCCTGGCTTGTGTCAGCCACCAGCTCAGCCACCAGGCAGGAGGCGTGACAGATGGGTGGGGATGGCTGAACAAAGGATCCTGTTTCCCTGTTCATGCTGCGGCTTCTGAGCCTCTGTGTGGACTGCACTGTCAGTATTTTCTTTCATTTTTGAAATTCCTATCATATGTCTAGGATAATACAGAATGTAAAATGTTCCAATTATTGGAAAGTTATAAACCAATTAATGGCTTAGGGGGGTGGTTCTGCCAACATTTTTAAGAAAACACATGCAATAGCAATAATATGAGCTTTGAAGTTCCATTTATTAATGTAGTACTCCTCAGAAGCTGATGACTCTGGATATAATCAAAGCTTTTTCTCAAACTCAGACTTCAAATATCTTTTTTTTTTTTTTTTTTTTTTTTTGAGACAGGGTTTCTCTGTGTAGTTTTGGTGCCTTTCCTGGAACTCACTCTGTAGATCAGGCTGGTCTCGAACTCACAGAGCTCCTCCTGCCTCTGCCTCCTGAGTGCTGGAATTAAAGGCTTGTGCCACCACTGCTGTGCTCAAATATCTTCAAAGCGTATAGTAATATCTACTTTGTAGAGTGAGTCTAAGGATTCACAATAATCCTCTAGAAAATAGTAGATACTCGTTAAATATCAGGTATTTATTTCACAACTGGAATGATGGTTGCTTAGGACCAGCTCGGGAGCCAGTGTGATCACTGTGAAATAACCACAGCAGAGGCATTTTTCATAAATTTGTACTTACAGCATGTTCTTTAAAGTAAATGATCTCAACAAAAGTTGGTACCTGTCATTTTAAACTTAGTGAAATGAAAATTAGTGATTCTAACCCAGCCACCCATATTTTCCTCATCTCCCTTGTCAGCTCTATGATGCAGGGTACTGGGACGCACTGAGTTAAGACCTTCCAATTGTACTACTAGGCTCTACTGTGTCAGATGAACATGGTTACTCTTATCAAGTCATTTTAATGAGGACAGTGGTATTCCCTGGCCACCTCACGCTGTAGCTCAATTACTGTCTGGTGAATGCAAACACTGCAATAATACACTCAGTGTGTATGTGGGGCGGGAGTTGGGGGTGCGTTTAACACAAATGCTCGGACTGGTTTCCATTTTTCTGTCATCCCTCCAACGTTTTAGAGTCAGACATAACCATAGCAATATATATGCATGATATAGTTGGGACCCCACAACCAAACAAAGTACCTGAGCTCAAGGATGCAATACACTGTTGGTTAGCAGTGTGAATTCTGCTTCTAGAAAAAAACTTACGTTTTATATATTTTATATATTTCAGTTTCTTCATCTATCACATCTCACAAAGAACAGTACCCACCTGATAGGATACTTGTGAAGAATTGCTTAAATATGACTTATAAATATTAAGTATAATTCCTAAGACCTGGGAAGCATTCGTTAAACAACGCTCCCCACCCTCCCCCCCCCAAAAAAAAAACCAAACAAAAAACCAGCAAAGTAATTCTCCAGAGCCACAGTCTTCCGATCTGATACACCCACCTACAACACCATCCTCTGGCCTTTCCACGTCACCATGTGACTTTCAGCAGGATAATTAGCATATCCCTCGTTTATAAACTGCCTACCCCACTCAGCACATGTATTGTCAGTTTCCAGTAAGCTACGATGTGCACGTTACTCACTATTGTGCTTGACTCAGTAGTTACACAGTACATACTTTCCCTGCTCCCTCCCCTTTAATGACGTCCTACCCCACGGAGCCCTGCCTCTGCACTCTGTACCTGGCAGCGGTTAACAGGTGTTTATTGCAGCCCTACCCCTTCCTCTCACTGCCTCCCACCCACATTCCCAGGAGTTACCTCGCGAGGAAGTGATAAAGGGCAGAAGTGAACGAGGTCCGCTCTGTCCTCTGCTTCGGCCGAGTGTCCTGCTAGATGCCTCTGGTGACATGAAAACCAACAGGAAGGATGCTGGATTGAGGCCCTTTTTGACATCCTGTCACTGTTGAGAGTCCAACCCACGCTTTCAAGGGAGTGCTGTACGCTCGTGTTTAGCATCTCTCGCCTCAGAATTTCCAATGTTCACTCCCTCCTTTATATGATTCTTAGATTACCAGCTCATGAGGCCAATGTGGGCATCACCAGAGAACCTGGCACGCCCGAGGGAAACTTGTGAGACCTACTTTTTGGTTTACACAGATACATCAAGTTAAATAAAAACCCCGTGCTCTTAAAATCAACAACGGCAGCAGTAAAGCAACACACTTTGAAGGTCTGGTTCAGAGTGAGCCGGAGTTTTAGTTTTACCCCTGGAATTAGGGAAACGAAGGGATGGATGACTGCAGAATAAATTACTAGAATGTCTTTAAATATAAAACACAACAAATAAGAAACCTGCCCCGCCCCACCCCACCCCCACATTCTCATGTGTGAGGCCAGAGCGCGCCATGCTCAAGCCCGATTTCTGTGCTTTTCCCCTTCATCTCTTGTACCCGGAAAGTATTTCTTTTTTTCTTTTTAACATTTTCTTTGAGTAATCGCAGTCTTTTAGGAGCGACACCTTGAAGATAGGAGAATCTGGAAGGAACTGGGAAGCCAGCGATGCTCTAGCTAGGAACTGAGAGTGTGGGGTGGCACGGTCTGCTGCTACGTGAGCCCCCGCGGCTTATGCCACAGCTGGCTCCTTGCCAGGAAGAGGGGAGGAAAGAGCTCTGCCATCGCCTGCTCGCTTTGGGACATGCTTGCTGTGGCATTGTTGCTAGACACCTTCACCGTTTTCCCTGCTCAGAGTGGAATGTTCCTTTCCTGAAATTTTGGTCCTCTTCCAGCTCCCAAGTCAGCCGCGGCTTGCGACTCTTGGGGAAGGTGGCTCCGTGGAACCTGAGGAGCTGTTTCCGTTCAGCAGCAGTTCCGTGGGAAGGACTGATTTCAGGGCTCCATGGTGCTCCTTCCCTCCATCCTTGTAACATGGCCTTGTGGGTGTGTGGGTGTGTGGTTCTATGTCCTAGGCAAGATGGAGTCAGTCTTGAAGAGTGTCGCCGCTGTGAGGGGGATCGAAAGAAACAAGCATCCGCGCGCACACACACACACACACACACACACACACACACACACACACACACACACACACAGCAGCAGGCTAGCTCGCTTACTCCCAAACTGCCATTCAAAGACTGATCACGGTTTGGGGTTTTATTTTTTGCTGTTGTTTGTTTTGTTATGTTTAAAAAACGGACTCTTCCGCTACTTTCGGGATTGTTTCCTTAAATCAAGGCACTTTGAAAAGCACAGTGTTGTCCTCAGAAATAGCATCTAAAGATACGAGTTTCCTGTTCAGATACAACTCAGTGAGATTCCCAACAGAAAAGGAACACAGCCAAAAGCCTAAAATATCTATACTTACTTAAAAATAATCTTATGTGGGAGTGGCATGCACGTGAACTTTCAAAAGCCTTGAAGTAGGTGAACTGCTGTTGGGGTTGAAGGCAGACGTCCGGAGCATACCCAGGTGTGGGGCTGGCTTAGCTGGCGAGGCCAAGGTTGTAGAAGTGCCTGTGTGTGTGCCCGGGGTGACTCACATCTCTTTCTTCCATCTGCTCCGCTCCCAGCGGCTCTGTTCCCACAAGGAAGGACTTCTCTGCCTTCAATATTCTTGACCTTTCCTTCCATTTTCATATGTATGTGGTATGTACGTGTGTGCACATGGGTATGTATGCGTGTGTGTGTATGTGTGTGTGTGTGTGTGTGTGTGTGTGTGAGAGAGAGAGAGAGAGAGAGAGAGAGAGAGAGAGAGAGAGAATTCTCGAACACTCATGTGGGTCTGAGTTTCTTTATGTATCCCTGGCTTTTCTGAGACTATGTAGACCAGGCTGGCCTCAAACTCACAGAGATCTACTTGCCTCTGCCTCCCGAGTGCTGGGATTAAAGTTGTACACCACCATACTTGGCTTGACCCCTAATCTTTTTTTTTTAACTATTTCTTTTAATTTTTTTTGAGATTAGAATATACTTACATCATTTTTTCTCTTCCATTTCCTCCCTCTAGACATTCCCATTTGCCCCTCCTTGATCTTTTTCTACTTCATCTTTTTCTTATTAATTGTTGTTACATAAATATGTGTGTATTATATACATATATATTCCTAAATACATAAACACACCCCAATACATTTACAAAACAACCCCTGAACTTAAGGGAATATTGCAGAAGAGGAAGCTGGGAGACTGAGACAGCTGGAGGGTCAGGGAGTGTGCTGTGAGATTGTGTCTCTTGACATTGTCAGGAGCTGCATGCATAAAGTCTCACCAACAGGGTTGCCTAAACATGAACTGAACAAGGACAATAGCAATAGCCATGAGGCCTGTGAGGTCTTGGTTCTACAAGAACTACAGGCGGCTAAGGAATGCTGAGAGCTGCCGCTTCCTTCCCCCAGGGAAGAGCACCCCAATTGGTTGAACCTCTGGTCCTTGAGTAGCTGGCCTCAGGCTGATGGTGTGAACCTTTTGATTGGTTTTCTTTGGGTGTTTTTGTCTGTGAGCTCCCTGAATTTGACTGTGGAACTAGTAACAGTAAATAAGTACAGAAGAGGTGAAGTGCTTCGGGGGAGGAGACACCTAGTCTTAAGGGCCACTGTGTGAACAAGAATTATCAGTTAAAAAGCAAATCTTGTGAGAAGTTCACAAGTGAAAAACAAAACAAACCCACTTCTTTTTATCTTTCATAAATATTTTGTCTCAAATGTTAAAAAAAAAAATGTGGACCTCTCTAGTCCTCTCATTTTCTCCTGAGCTAAAGTGGTGTTCAGTGCTGCAGGAGGAATCGTCTCTGAGCGTTCTTAGGCATGGCTTCCCTGCTCTTCACTGGCATCCCCAGAGACCCCGGGCAGCATCAGGCCTGGAGAAAGGCAGGTTCAAAGATTGAAGCAATTTACTAATCTGAAGCTCTGTGTGCCACCTGGCTTAGGATGCTCTTTACTCATTTATTTCTTCTTCTTCTTCTTCTTTTTCTTCTTCTTCTTCTTCTTCTTCTTCTTCTTCTTCTTCTTCTTCTTCTTCTTCTTCTTCTTCTTCTTCTTCTCTCTCTCTCTCTCTCTCTCTCTCTCTCTCTCTCTCTCTCTCTCTCTCTCTCTTGAAAATAACATGCATAATTTGGCACAAAAAAACCCAAGATCCAAGGAAACGAGGGGACAGCATAAGCACAGAGTGTCTGCTGGAGGCGCATTTGTTAGAGCAGCCCTGAGCACTCTTTACATATAGAAGAAGTCACAATGTTGTTAGAGCATCAACCTCTTAAGTGGCAGTTGAGAACAGTCATCATTTACAAAGATATTCTGTACACTAGATTTGGATTTTTTAACAGAATCAAATTCTTTACGATAGCAATGGTGAGCATTATTACTGCTATAACTACTTTACTGAATTCTTAACACTTCCTTTGATAAACATTGTGGTCTCAATAAGAGAAACCAATGCAGAATGAGGGGGCGATGGTGTCTATATTTATAGCTCAGAGTCTTGTTTTTCCCAGGGGAACGTTTTAGGTCTTCTGTAGAGCAGAAAGGACAGCAGCTGCAGGCATGCCGGGATGAGAAGCCATGTAGAAACCCTGATACTTCTGGAATCTGCTTCCTCGAAATATCTGAACTTTAACAAGGCTTTGGAAATATGAAATTTCTGAGTCATACTTACCCACTTAAGCAAGAGTCTAAGCAAAGTGGCACATCCCAAAGAGGCCTGTTGCCAAGGGTGGAGGTAGAAGACATGCCAGTGTCTCCTACAGCGAGGGCAGGGTGTCAGTCAGCTTGTGTGGGCAGCTCCAATGCCAGAGCTGCTCCGAGAGATAGTAGAATGTGCTGGGCCTGCAGTAGGCCTTCCGGTCCTGTGCCCAAACACACAGCCTCACATGTCTGATAAATGCATGACATCTAAAAGTTAATTAATTGCTCTTAGGCTTGCTGGTCATACAGGCTAGTCTGTTCTCATCAACTATCAAGGAAGGAAAGCAAGCTCAAGTCTCACATCTTTCTAAATTTCCATCATCTATAATTTTTCTTCTAACTCTCTCACATATTCCACCTATGTTTCCATAATTTATAAGGCAACAATGAGGCCCTATAAGACTGAAATGCTTTGCTTACTCTTAATTCAACTCTTAAGTCTACTTAAGTAAGCAAACTAGTAAGTAATTGCAGAACTCCTTAATCCTGCAGCTCTATATTTCTTTCGCCCATTTAATTTTTTTCATTTGGCCTTAACATCATAAACATTGAAAATTCATTTGTGAAAAGAATCTTGTTTGGTGTGTGTGTGTGTGTGTGTGTGTGTGTGTGTGTGTGTGTCTATGTGTGTGTGTCTGTCTGTCTGTCTGTTGGTGTCTGTGTACAGCTCATTGCCAGTTCTGTCTACCTTACGTTTGTCAAACAAAGGCAGTGCCCGCTCTGGTCTTATCCATCAACTGATCCTTAAATCCATGGGTGGGAATTCTGATTGCGTCCTCCCATAGACCAAACCCTTTGGGGTTTTACTTAAACACTAGTGCAGTGCGTCACAATGTGAAAAAACACTGCAGATCTGGTCTCAAATCTTGGTGTCGCTGTTGTAACTGAAACTATGGTTTTTAACTTCTGTAGTCCTCATTTTCAATGAAGTAAAAACTGTTGGTTCAAATCTGGGCTTGTCACAAGTCCAGTTTAGATGCATTTGTGGCAGTACACTGAGGAATGGGGGAGGGGCAGATTATAAAATGCGTCCCACAGGGGGGAAATGAGGAGCTTCATTGATCCCTTGATGGATACAGATCTAGGCTCATTCTAATTGATTAGCAATGTCTGTCCTGGGCAGGTAATGACATGAGTGCTTCCTTTGTGTTAATCCCACTTGGGAAAGCTCTCTAAAGTGCATTTCATCATTATTTTAGGGGGAAAAAAAGGACATCACATTCCCATGAAGAAGTGTGAGAGTTAACTTTGTAATTTTCAAAATCAGAAAAAGAAAGGTCTCAACCAAGATAGGTATTTAGAGTCTTTCAAGTGTCTTGTCCCAGACTCGTATCTACTCCTTCCGGTGATTAATAACCAGGTAATGGGTCAGTGAAATAGTTCAGTGGATAAAAGTGTGCCTGCTAGTCAAGGCACACTTGACTACACCAAGCCTGGTGACTAGAGTTCTCTCATTGGGACCCACATGGAGGAAAGAGAGATCTGACTCCCACAAGCCGTGCCCTGACCTTTACACACGCACTCTGATATACGCGTGGGCCTAGATGTGCACGCGCATGCACACACAATTGTAAGGGGGAAATAGTTGGGGTTAAAGGCCAGATAGATGGGATACCACATTTGAGAATGGGGGAAATGCCATTTTTGTCCTCACTCTCATGAGA